CAAATACCTTTTTCCCAGTCTGTGGCTTCCCTTTTTACCCTGTTGGAGAAATTTTTGGATGTTCATAGGGATTTGATTCTTAGAAGGTCCCATTCATCTATTTTATCTTCTCCTGGTTGTAGGCCTTCTGTTTTTTAATGGGCAAAAATGTAGAACTCTTTCCCTTGGTTGATCAGCTAGCTGTCTTTTATATTTCTTGACATGGGTGAGTGTGTACATCCAGGGTTGCATCTGTTTGCTGAGACATTTCAGTTAGTATTCTGTCAATTGCTGGAGCCTTACTTTTTATCAGGGCTGTGAGTGCAGGCTCAACCTATTCCTTCCTTTTCACTGGTTCTTGATCATATGCTTTTTCCTAAAATGGTTAAGTGGTGACCAATTCTTTTTGGTACAATCTCTCATATTCCTTCCATCTTATTTTGATACTCATTATGGCATTCAATATTTTGTCCATAAAATTCTTCAATATCACAATTCGAGGCTTGAATTTTTTCTGCTGCTCTTTCAGCTGGAGAATTGCCAAGTGGGTGTCTCCCTTTTGGTTTTCTGTTTACACTCTTTGCCATTTCATTATAATACTTTGTTTTTCTGTGTTGCTCTTTGAAATTTTCTGTTCAGCTCTTTTAATTTATTGTTTCTGACTTTCACTTTAGCTTCTCTATGTTCTGAAGCCAGCTCTGTATGTTTTTCTCTATGTTCAAAAGGGAGCTTAGGGGTTTCAGGGGTAAGGAAGCATGCTGCTAACACAAAGGCATGTGGTTAGAATCCACCAGCTGCTCTGCCAGAGAAAGATGGACAGTCAACTCCTGTGCGATTTACTGTCTGTGAAAACCTGCTGGAAGGTCAGCTAAGGGTTCATTCCAACTCAAAGGCACAAAACAACAGGGCATCTTCTGACATCCATATATTGGGCCTTCTTTTCTGTCTTTTTAATGACCTTTTGCTTTCTTCATGTATGATGTCCTCTCGCAACTTGTCTCATTTTCTCATTGAAATATAATTTTGAAATTATTTCTAAATTCAAGTGGGATATACTCAAGGCCACTTTGTTGTTCTGGTGAACTTATTTTCATTTTTTTAACTTATTTTCATTTTTGTCAGCTTCAATTTGAACTTGCTTGTGAGCAACTGAGGGAGCCATGGTGACCTAGTGGTAAGAAGCTGTGCTGCCATCCTGAAGGCACGTGGTTCAAAACCACCAGCTGCCCTGAGGGAGAAAGATGGGCAATCTTCTGTGTGATTTACTGCTTCTGAAAATATGTTGGAGAGACAGCTATAGGTCAGTTCTGACTCAATGGTACATAACAACATGAGCAACTCATGTTCTACTCTATAATTAGACAGTGGCTCTGTTCAGACTGATTATATTGAGTTTTTCAACCATCTCTTTCCACAGGTGTAGCTGATTTGATTCTTGTATGTTCTATTAGGTAAGGTTCTTGTAGTCACCATTTATATTTTTTAAAAAGGTACTTTCATATACACCAAAGAGACCATAACTGACATCCAAGCAGATATATGCACACCCATGCTTATCGCGGCTTTGTTCATAATAGCAAGGAATTGGAAACAACCTAAGTGCCCATCAACAAATGAATGGATAGAGAAGCTGTGGAATACTATGCTGCATTGAAAAACAAGGAACTCATGCAATATTACTCAAAATGGATGAGCCTGGAGGACATCATGCTGAGTGAAATATCTCAGTCATAAAAGGACAAATGCTGCATGGTGCCACCGCTGTAAAATGGGACTGATATGAGGGTTGGGGTAAGATTGAGAAAAACTGGATAAATTGCATATACGGCATTGAAACAGATGAGGGAGAGAATAATTTAAAAGCGATATATGATAGGGTATTATAGTTATCACAAGAGTCCACAATTAAGGTTGCATAGTGGAATGTACTTAGGCAAGGATGCCCACTCTCACCTCTCTTATTCAATATTGTATTGGAAGTCTAGCAAGATCAATAAGACAAGAGTAGGAAATAAGAGGTATCCAAATTGGCACCTCAGATGCTTGTGAGAATGATCTGTTCATAATTGGTCAGGTCCTCAAATACCAGGTTTCAGAATAAACAATCAAACAATGGCTAGAGTGATGATGAAAGCCATTTCTAACACCTACACCTTTATCTTTGCCACTGTCACTGGGAAACTCTTACCTGGAAACTCCCAAAGCAACTTCCCCCAGGCAGGGTGACATAGCAGACGTATGGAGGGCTGTTGGAGGGCACCATCTCATAGACCACCAGAGCCCCATTCTTCAGGTCAGCGCCACGGGACTGCTTCATCTGCCAGAATTCCTGCAGTGCCTCCACCACATTCACTGTAGAAAGAAAAACATTTAAGTTGAGCAGTAAGAATACCTCCATATGGTACAGAGCTTCAGCAAGCATTCTGCCTTTAAGAGGCTAACACAGTCACATTAGGACAAATACTGTACAAGACCATTATTGTAGAAATAGTAAAACGTGTATGACGATCTAAGGTGGGGGGAGCAGAGGGATTAGCGTGGGTGGGGAAGGGATGGTAATCATAGGGTCACACAATTTGATTGGGTGGCGGGAGAGGTGGGTAAAGGAAATGGGAAAGATCCCATGTGAAAAAACAATGTACACAAACTTTGAAAATAAACCAGTAAAAAATTAAGATTTCATCCAAAAAACCCAAAAAGGCTATCATTTTGCTCCCCATCTATGGCCATTTAAAAACATTTACATTAATAAACCTAGATTGTGAATAAATCTATTAGGAAGAGAAGATCAGAGTACACTATTCTTCTTCCACACCTTTCTAGTTCTGATTTAGATTAGTCCTAGATACCAAAAGAGGGATGTGTGGTGGTGGCCTGCTGTTGTTGTGTGCTTACTAGCTGCTCTGTGGAAGAGAGATGGAACATCTTCATGCAATTTACTGCCTCTCAAAACTCACTGGAAAGTCAACTAGGATCCAACTGGCACAGGAGGAGATTGCCCTTCCTTCTCCA